ATAGAGTTTAGAATATAGCTTTCCTGACATACCAGGACACACCTCAGCTTTAAAATGACTTCTCGTCTGAATATTTCAGGAGTCTGGGAGATGGAGTTTAGAGTATAGCTTCCTTTGCCCATCCTCATCTTCATCTTTTTCCCCCCTCTTTTTTTAAGTCTTGAATTATCTCTAGACATTTTCTGCTGAAATATCACTAAAAACTTATTTTTAAGTTGTGCACAAATTATTTATTGAACTTGCCTGTTTTGATGTAAATTTTCCTAAATTTTTCAGGGATGCAAATTTAATATGTTTCATTTCTGGACCAATTTGTCCATTGACCTGATTGCTGCTCCTGTACCACACTGCTGCAATCACTACAGTTTTACAATATATTCCCCAAGAGGGGAAGTCTCTCTCACTGGCCTTTGCTTTGCTCTTCTTTTCCAAGAGTCATTTGACTCTTTGTTTTTGAAGCCAACCCAGAATCTAAACCAAAGTCACTGCATGGCTTCCAGCACCGCATGGTTCCAGCATTATCACTGCCCTATAGTGGTTAAACCTCAGCCTGGATTTTCATGTGATTTCATTTACAGAGTAGTTCCAGTTAAAATTATCTTTTAAAAGTACCCATCTTCCCAATAATAGAACGATTTTTTTTTATTTGTTCAAGTCATATTTAAGGACATAAGTAGAATTTTAAAACATTATTTTCTGCATCTGATTCCTTCTACTTTTTGTTATATCTATGTGAAGAACCATAATGGGTCTGAGCTTTTACCCTCTCTAAAAGCAATCACATTAGTCTGTCTCAGTGTCGTGGATGCTGACAGAAGACAGACGACTTTCAGGTCAGAGCATGGCAGGTTGTATAATCTTCATGTTCCCATGGGTTTTTCTGTCCTGGTTCCGGGGTGGATACTGTACATGCAGTGGGTTTGTGTCCCAGCCAAGAAATTCTGAGCTTAAGAATCACTAAGGAAAGGTTAGGATGAGCTTTAGGTCAGACAGAAGTCAGACAACACAGTGAAACCCTGTGTGGAAGAGCTAGGCCTGGTGGTGCATGCCTGTAGTCCCAGCTGGGAAGGGAGGCAGAGGGATCAGGACACAGTGAAACCTGGTCTAGCAAAGCAAATACTACTCCATAGAAAAACACAGAAAAAAATATGTCATGATTTTTCTGACAACCCAAGATATATATTTTATATATGTAATCTTTGAGCATTTTCCTTTTCTATTAGTTTTGAGCTTTTCTTTAAACATTAAAAAATTTTCATTGTCTACCTTCAACAGTTATGTTCTCCCTAAAAAAAAAAAAAAGAAAAAGAAAAAATATAGCCTCCATCTGTCTTGTTTCTATTGCATCTCAAGATTGAGACCCTTCCTTATAGTCACTAAAGATCTTTGTTACTTTCCTTTGTTGTTCATTTGTTAGTTTGGGAAAAAGAGAGTTTGGGGTACCTGTGCTTTTGCCACTGTCTTTTCCAAAGTTACTGAGTCTGTTATAGAAAGAACCACTTTGTAAGTGCTTTCCCAACTCTTGAAATTTATTCCAAGGAGACATTTAGAGAAACTCCCCATGGTTAAAATAACCCCTTCAAATTTTAAGAGTCTTCTCTCTCTTCCTTAACATTGTACTTACCTGTGATAGCAAATGCGACATAGCATCTTCCTGATTAACGGATGAATATGCAATCATCCAGGTGTGGTGAATTGAGGTGCTTGTGGGAAGACTTCTTACCTCCAATTATCTCCCCAATTGCTGTGGTAACTAGTATCCAATCAATAACAGCTCACTGTTGTTCTGTTAGCATGAAATTTGTGTATCAGATTTAATGGCCTGGCAAGGTCCTTCACAGTCTTTAAGACAAGTGTCCTTCTGTGAAAGGCAACAAGTAGAAAGCCGTGCCAGTTCCGGCTTTCCCTCACACTAGGGAGAGGGAAGTGGAACACAGAAAAACCGGTTTAAAAGATGACTTCCATTCTAGGAAGACTTCTTGACATGTTGAGAAATTTTGGGAAAGTGAAGCTTCATTTTGAATGATAAAAGTGATTAGAAGCCAGCAGTGGTGTGGAGGTTAAGGCAGCTGAATCCCACATGGCTGACTATGTGGTTAGAGTCCCAGGTCCAGCAGCTTAAAAAACATGTTGAGCACGTGTGTGTATGAGCCCAAAATCCCGAGGGAGAATGGAGGAGAAGAGATTGCAGTATGGCCATCCCCCCAGGGGGTGATTTCTTACCCCTCCCCAGGTGAGTCCACATGTCCTATTGCAAAACTTAAAAAAAAATTTTTTCTTAATATTACACTAATTAGTTATCTTTTTTCACTCTTTAAAATCTATTAGTCAGAAGAGTTTTGTGAGGAAGAATCTCAGTAAACAAAGCATTACAACTCACGAGTGAAAAAATGCGGCCAAATTACTCTCTGAGAAAAATCTCCATTTTTGTGAGAGAAAAAGAGATTTAATGCCTTCTCTCATCATGGATTTCCTCTGGTTGACTTTAGATTGTGATGTTAGTGCACACATTGCTGACCTCCTCACTCAACATGGAGATGTCTATCATAGAGTAGGAAAACTCTTCCCAAAGTCCATAAAGACAAATTAATAATGAGAAAGCAGAAACCTTATAATGATCATTCAAAATGGACTCAGACCATGTTTCACATAGCAAAAAGCTTAAAGAATACCTTTTGGCAATTCTTCAAAAGATGTTAAAGTATATTTATTTAAAATAAGCACAAATAGTGAAAGAGAGAGTGTGACGAAAAGACAGGATATCCCAAACAGGGTCTTGACCCACCTGGATCAAGGTGCTTAGGTGTATGGCCAGCCCTGGATCACAGGCGCTTAGATGTTCAATGTACTCAGGGTGGTTTCTGGATGTGAACCTGGAACCTTCTCATTTGAGTTGGCCTTGTAGAGTTCCTTTTACTGCTGTACCACTGTCTAGCTTCAATGTTTTTGATCACCTCTTTAATGGAAAAGAATATTTTGGGTATTTGTTGGTACCGTGAAGTACAGACACTAATCCTAGAAATAGAATTTTTTGCTTGTTTATATGTTAATGAGTGTATGTTCACTGATCATAATTCATTGACTCTAAGATGCCCTTACTTATATCACATATCTTTTTTTTTATTTAAATAGAGATTTTTTGCTATAGGGCATGTGCACTCACCAGAGAGACAGAAAAAGTGAGAAATCATCCCACAGGGGGAATGGTCATGTCACAATCCCTTCTTCTTCATTCTCCTCTCAGGATTTTGGGCACACATGCACATGTGCCTGACCCACCTAAGCCTCTGGGTCCAGGACTTGAACTGTGGTAGGCCATGTGGGAGTCCAGCACTTTTACCACTATGCCACCTGCTGGCTCCCACATATTACTATTTTATATATTAATAAGAAAAACATCCTCCCTATGTGGAATTCTCACATGCTCTAAGTGCTGTAGGGTGCTCCTGACTTCACAGATGTTATTATGTGGGAAATATGCATCTTGGAATCAATGAGGCAATATTTTTCTTCAGCTCATAAAAAAGGGAAAATTGATAACCTCAACAGCTTGTCCATCTATTTGAAATCTTAACAGTGCATTCAATAAACAAACTTATCATCTAAAATGCTATTTACTATATACAATATTTTTAAGAACAATCGAAATTATTGATAGGATACTGTTATCATTCAGAGAGTTAACCAAACGACATTAAATCTATAAAGAATGCCCACAGATCTCTGTGATGTTTTTAAGAATTTCCACTATTATAAAAAAAAAGCAAAACAACAACAGAAAAACAAGCATTTCTACTATTTGACATTTTTCCCTTGAAAAAAGCAATCTAAACCCTGCGGCACTGCCCAGGCCAAGGTTTAGGGACTTCCCACAAGCTCTCCCAGCACCTGCAGCCTTGTGAGCAAAAGCCTCTCATTTCCACTGGAAAGTGCCAATAATCTGCAGAAATGAATGTTATCACTTGGCATCACCCCTGAGTTAAAGTGTCAAGTTCTGCCTTATTTATCTCATTCCTGAACATTCCAGGAAATCTGACCCCCCAAGCTTGTGCTACCATTATGTTCTCTAGATTGGGGTTGATCAGCTTCAAGATTTAGGCGATTATAGCTGAGACATCTATCAGTATATTTAATGCTGTGCCAAGATGATTTTAGTATATGAGAAAGTTGTACAAAGGATTGAACACCGTGAGCAATTACCCATAGTCCCACGACCTCTGCTTCCATGACATTCTAGCAGGTCTTTTTCCATTCTTTTACCATATACATTTTTGCATAATTGAGATCATTTTGATATACAACTTGAGTGGCGCTTTTTATACTCAACATTATGTCATTCAAAGTGCTTTCAAGGATGTGTAACTAGTTGACTATTTTATTATGTCTATATTAATTATCCACTATTGCTTGTTATTTACATTGCATCAATTTTGAGTTTTGCAATTGTAATTAAGGTTAAAATGAGCACTACTGAAAACAATTCTGTCCACATTTTGATGAGGACATTATCAACTTTAATACAACTGATTTGTACTATTAAGTTTCTTTCAAGGGAAAAAGAGGTCATGATCATTTATAACTCAACCAAAAAGGACACAAGTGAATAGGAGAAAATGGCTTTGTTTATATGATTCCATCATTATATCAGTTTAAATTCCAACTGAGGAAACTGAGACTCAAAGTCATCCTGTCACTGGTAACATGGTCCGTGGTGTTTGAATCCGGGGATCTATCATCTTCTCCTTCTAGCCAGTATCTTCCCCACGTTACTAATGGAAATTTGCTATCTTTGAAATGAGTCCAGAGGACCAGTAAACTCTCCCCAGGAGCCCAGTCGCACCGTTGATGCCCGAAAAGGTGCCTGCCTCTCCCATCGGAGGCTCTTCCCCTCCAATAAGCAGTACATATCCCCCAGCTCACCAACTTGGAGCCATGTTTGCCTTGCAAACCAAACAAACGCTTCTGTTTTTGTTTTGCTTTGTGTCCGGACTAATTCTTAGCACCTCTCCTACCTGTGAGCGATTTGTCATCTCATTCTGTAAGACTGGCACCAGCAGACATGCAGTCCCAAAGGATCCCGGGGAGAAAGCGAGGTCGACCCCCACTGCACTCCACTCCTCTGAAGATGGCAGTTCATAACCTTTATTCTGCTGCAGCTGGTTCTTTACCAGCAGTGAAGATCCCAAAGAAAAGAGGGCGGAAACCCGGGTATAAGGTACGGCTCCACTCTCTCCTCTCTCCAAAGTGGTACTGGGCTGGGGTGTCGGTGCTTGGGCAGAAGCAAAAATGTGATGAAAGGTTGCGATGACAGATAGTCTCTTCCAATGAAGCACGTGACTGATGAGCCTCGTTATAACATGGCACACATGCATGTTGCCGTGCGTGTTTTTATGGACCACGTGAATTGCAGCAGTGGGGAAAGTCATACCTTGAGCAGATTTTAGGGTCCCAGCTAAATGCATAGTATTAAACTCTGCATCTAAATTGGTATTTCAGAGGTTTTCCCTGACTATTCCTCCTAGGGTGGCTCTGAAGCCACTATCCAGAACTCATTCATCATTTATTTTAGTAGAAGCAGATGAGGTTCTTAAGACATTTAAGGATATAGTCTTCTTGAGCAGAGTTGTATCTTGGGGACTTAGAATAAAAATTCAGTGTTAATTCATAGTTCCCCCACTTATAAAAGGTGCTGACATCAAGTTTGGCTACAAGGAGCCAAATCAGGCAAAAATAAAATCCTGTGACCCTTTTAAGAATTAACAATGATATAGAGAGGCCTAGGGGTGGAGAATAAATTCTCTGATGTAACCACAATCACATAAACCAAGCTAAACCCGAGGGAGAGCTTCTCTAAGATGTTTTTGAAGAGGCTACTGGAGAAGGAAGGATATTCAACTGGTTCCACAAGCCTTTTGGGCATTAGAAACAAGCTCAGAAGTTTTCCTTCATTTATTTTTCTTGAAATAAAGGCTTAGGTTTCCATCTTGAGACCCGAATGCTGAAACCAAAATGCAAATTGGCAATTAACTCCCATATATTTAGGAAAATGTATGGAAATTGTTTCAGGTCAGCAGAAAGACAGAGCTTTCGGAAGAGTTGCTAATGAATTCAACCTTTCTCCCTTTGGCTCTCCACAGCTCTTCCAAATGCTGGAAAATAAAAACAGTGGGTGGGGGAAGTTCCTCAAAATGATTTTGGGGTCATTGGTTTTAGTAAAAGAAGCTTTTACTCAGCCCTCTCACGAGGTAAAGTCTTCTGTCACTGGTTATTTTTCTAACAAAGAGAGCCTCCTTTTTCTCGCGGGCATGCTGGCTGTAGAACTGTGTCTCTGAAGCTGGCATCAGACAGGTTTTACCCACTCAGCTACCTGTGCGGGTGCTGGCTCTTGGGATTGCCAGAGCAGGGCTTCTGTTTACGGATGCAAGGAGCAAATCCAGGATTTGAAGGAATGTGCTAAAAACGTTTCTCCCCTGCTTGGTCCTCCTCCTCTCCCCTGGGGGCTGTGACCCAGGAACAAAAATTACCAGCAGACACAGCATTTCTGGGGTCAGGAAGATTGGAAATTCACTCCATGCAATGAACGTGCTTTTGCAATTTTCTTGTCTCTTAAGAAGGGCAGTTGTCAGTGTTGCTAGTGTTCAGAGACACCTCCAACAGGATGAAAGTTTTCGGGTTGACTGGTTAATAACAGAGGCCCTGCACAAAGGAAGCGAATTATTCCCAATGCCTCAAAGAGTTTCTTTTCTGGGACAACAGCCCATAGCTTTTCCTTGGGTCCACTTCCCATATATTTAGGAAAATACATGAAGACTATTTCAGGCCAAGAGATCCCAGACAGCTTGCAGGCCTATGGGCAGAGTGTTTCTGAAGAATAGTACCAAACTTTATCATGATATGAGAAGAATAAAAACCACACGAAAGTCTTTATAATGCTAAAATGAGTCCATTTAATGGATTACTCTTTATTATGAAATAATGCTAAAATAATTCCATTTACAAGATTCCTCTTTATTCTGAAATATCCACTTCCTACTCCTTTGGGAGTAAAACATTTAGTAATTTTTAAATATTTATTATATATGTGTGTGTGTGTGTGTGTGTGTGTGTGTGTGTGTGTGTATAGGCCATGTGTGCTTGCTGGAAAGAGACAGAGACAGTGAGAAGAAGGAAAGTGAGAAATCACCCCCAAGGAGAGATGGCCATACTGCAGTCCCTTCTCCTCAATCTCTCTTCCTTCTGGGATTTTGGGCATCCAGGCACATGCACCCAGCGTGATTTTCAAGCCACCAGGTTCAGGACTCAACTGTGATCAGCCATATGGGAGTCCAGCACCTTAAATGGAATCCAGACCTTAACCACTATGCCACCTGCTGGCCTATATGTATGTATGTATGTATGTGTGTGTGTGTGTGTATATATATATATTCTTAGTTGGCAAAATAAAGTCGGTAACCTACTACATCCCCCTAGTTTCAACTTGACAGTTTTCTAGACCTTGACACCCTACTTTTCCATGACTAAAAAGACTTTAATTGTGGAGAAGCCAATAAGGAGATTGTAAAGTTTCACTCCATTTACCGAATGGCCACTAATTTCACAATTTTAACTATCTGGGACACACAGTTTTAACTATCTGGGAGCCAGAAATTGTTTAAAAAAAAAAAAGTTTGAAAGCAAATTAAGGTATTATTTGGTGTAAGCCTAAAGATTTGAATTTTATTACTAAGAAAATGTTCCAAGTCCACTGTGAGTCTGATAACCTTTATTGTGAACACTTTTCTTATAAGCTCCATAATAGCAGTTAGTAGCCTTACATTTGAAGGGAAAAGTATTTGGGGAAGAAGATTGCACACACAGGTGGATACTGAGGGGAGAATAATAATTATTGTTATGGGGAACCAGCAGTTAGTGTAATGGCTATGTCACTGGACTCCCACGAAGTTAGTTGACCACGGTTTGCGTCCCAGACCCGGTGGCTTAAAACTCACGCCGGGCGCGTGTGTGTACGTGCCTAAGATCCCAAGAGGAGAATGGAGGAGAAGCGATTGTGGCGTGACCATCCCCTCTAGGGGGTGATTTCTCGCTTTCTGTCTCTATGTCTCTCTCTGTCTGGCGAGCGCACATGCCCTACAGTGAAAATCTCTCCAAAAAAAAATTATTGTTGTGATAGGATAACACTATCAACAATATAGAATAATCAAATAAGATAATAACATCAATATTATAAAATGATGAATAGTAACATAATGATAACAATATCTTAACAATATAGACTAATAATAACGTTATCAGGACCAGCAGTTGGCATAATGGCTACGTCGCTGGACTCCCATGTAGTTGACCGCGATTCGAGTCCTGGACCCGGTGGCTTAAACTCATGCCGGGCGCGTGTGCATGCGTGCCCAAGATTCCAAGAGGAGAATGGAGGAGAAGGGATTGCGGCATGGCCATCTCCCCTGGGGGGGTGATTTCTCGCTTTCTGTCTCTCTGTCTCTCTGTCTTTCTGGTGAGTGCATGCGCCCTATAGGAAAAACCTCATCCAAAACAAAATAACATTATCAATGGTATAAAATGGTAAATAGCAACATAATTCAGTTATGTCTATGATAATAGAATTACATATTGCTATTAATAATATCATCATAGTAAAATAACATGGTTTGGGGCCTTCAGCAGGCTCTTCTCCAGGAGATTCTGGGATGCCTCATTGTGCTGACTCTACCATGGGTTGACATTTGTCACTATTTGCTTGATGCCACCTCAGGCTGCTCAGCTAATCACCTCTGTGCCTCTGGCCCAAGAATGGACACTTTCCCTTCAAGACCCAAGCACAGTTAGCACAGGCTGTGGCATTGAACTGCTTCTCTCGTTCTTGAGGATAACACGCGGAATCACAGGCAGAAAGAGAGGGGTTAAACTGGCAGTCAGCTGTCAGAGCTCTAGAGTTCACAGGTCAGGCCCCCTCCCAGGGCCCATCTGGCCATCTCTGGCCCCAGGCCCACATCCATATTATTGGAGCATCACGTTTTATGACCCAGCTGCCCCCTTCTCACCCCAGTCAAAGAAGCAAGAGCCTTTTACCCTCATGCTTTCTTCCAGCAGCCCTGACATGGAAATAGCCTTCTTCGCTATTAGACAGAATATTAACCTCTCAGTTTGAAACATCTGCTATCGTTTTAGGTCCTTAGTTCAGGGACTCCCCAAAGTCAACAGGTAGATTTTCCTTACATTTCACAGCTAAAAAGGGCAATGTCTTTGCTGACTTAGAGGAGACAAATCCCAGCTTCCATTTAGTACAGTCAACTTACTACGTCTCTAAGCAGTGTGATTCCTATTTTCTGTGTATTTATGCTTGGGATTCTGATTTAAGCGGAAAGAAAAAATCCTGGCGTTTAAAACAGCTATTGGTTGGACCAGCAGATGATGTAGTGGTTATGTTGCTGGATTCCCACATGGCTAACCGCAGTCTGAGGCCTGGACCTGGTGGCTTGAAAATCACGCCAGGCATGTGTACGTGTGTGCCCAAGATCTCAGGAGGAGAATGGAGAAGGGATTGTGTGGTGTGGCTAGCCCCCCACACCGGGAGGTGATTTCTCACTTTCCCTCTCACTCTGTCTCTGTCTCTCTCTCGGGCGAGCACACACACTGTATAGCAAAAACCTCTATAAAAAATGAAAAAATGACAGCTAGTTGTCATTGTCATGGAGTAATAATAATTACTACTAATAGCAGTATAGTCATATATAGCATTCACTGAGCACTTTATTTTCGAGGGTCTGAGTGAAAGCACCTACGTGTACTTGGAGGGTGAGGGAGAGTCAGAACAACACAGAAACTGGGCATGAACAAATCAAACCCACAGCCTGAGGCCACTTATTACCAGGTCAGCAGCCCCTGCACCGCAATCATCTCTTTGTACGATTGTTCAGAATAGTAATTATGCTTCTAGATTTAAACAAGAGTCAATTATGTCCTGTCTGCTCTGTTCAATGACTTAAGAAAAATGTGACATATTCTAGGAAGGATATCATCCCTTCAATGTTTTTTTAAAAAAGGTTAAAATGTTTTAAAATGTTGATAATTCATCATCCAGGAAGTAAATTCAGCTGCTGTAACAAAGTTCAAGCAACGGTGATTTAAAGAATACAGAAGCCAGTTTCTCTCTCATGCTAAAGCCTGGGAAGGCTGTTGAGACTGCTACCGTGGCTCCACGGT